CTCTCTCTCTCTCTCTCTATCTCTCTCTCTCTCTCTCTCTCTCTCTCTCTCTCTCTCTCTCTCTCTCTCTCTCTCTCTCTCTCTCTCTCTCTCTCTCTCTCTCTCTCTCTCTCTCTTTCTCTCTCTCTCTTTCTCTCTTTTCTCTCTTCCTCTCTCTCTCTTTTTTTCTCTCTCTCTCCCTCTCTCTCTCTCTATGTGTGTGTGTGTGAGTGCGTGTGCGTGTGCGAGTGCGTGAGCGTGTGCGTGGGTGTTGTTCCAATAAATCAGGTGGCAGGGATCTGCCCCCACCCCGTCGATTCCAAGCTGGTATAGAGCCCCGCCAGTGCATGCCTAACTACGGGAGCCTGAGGCTGTCTTCATCAGCACAGTCGATGTTATCCGCCAGGTTTTCAGAGCGCTGTCCGGGCAACCTCGTGTGGCGAGACACCCGACGTCAGGCGGTACGTCGATCCCAGTGAGTCGCGCCTTGTTCGGCCACTGCTCTAGGTGTAGTCACGTGATCTCTCAAGCTACGCAGCACAAACCTCGCTTCGTCCGCTGCGTCTCACTGCGATGGGACTTCGCCAGCGGTTTGTTCGTTATGTTGGCCTGAGACGACAGCGGCCCCCGAGCGCCTCGCCCCAGCCTCCGAGGACCGAGACGAGCCGACCTCGGACTCGACTGGCGACGGGCCGGGTCTGGGCGACGCAGGCTGGCATCGATCGTGCATGCCAGCGCGCCGTTGGTTACACGGCGATACGCTACGTCAGCCAGGCGCGGTGTTGTGGCAACCCTGCCTCCCGTCAACGGAGCCGAAGGCAGCGGCGCTCGCCTGCTGGACGACGCGGGGGGCGGAAGCGGCGTGGCTGTCCGTAGGGCGAGTGGCGCGGAGACAGGGGGTCTGGCGATATGGGCGCATGCTTTCCTTCGTCTATGCGGGCTATGATGTGTGTGGTGAAATGATACCTTGTCAAATACTATGCGGTCTACACCTGACATTTGACGTGACAAATGCATTTTTTGCACCCAATCCGCACCCATCGCACCAATCCGCGGAATCGCTCGGTATAATGCTCGCGGGTTAACCCTAACCAAGAAAGGCACTTAGGTATGCAGTTCATACGCGAAGAGTGAGTGTTACATGTGTTAAGGGGAAGAGGAAAAAGACGATCTTAGTTCTATATCATCAATCGTTGTGAGGAATAGTGTGCGACCTATTACACTGCCCTGGGGTGATCCATGCGGCTCAGCGTAGGGAGGCGAGAGGTAGCAGTGACAATTGACTTAAAAAGGACGGGGCTGGAGAAAAACGGTGAGCAAAACTGCACGATGAACTGTGAACCCGACATCTTGGGTTTGGACAGTCGTATGAAGGTTCACTCGGTCATAATCGGCACTCAAATCTTGAGATGCAACACAGCATGATATTTGACAGCAAGGTCGGACGAATGGCATTAGTGGGTATGGAATATGCTGTCGGCGGAGGAGAGGGCTTTCCTAAAGCCGGCTTGATATGGGTCGAGGATGTTGTAGTTTTCAAGAAAAGGTTAAAAGGCAAACATTGAACATCTTCTCGAACGTTTAAATGCACAGGTAGATGAAGGCAGAGCTCTTGTGCAGACGGCTATCGACCTTCAATACACGGAGAGGTCATTGGGTTAAACGATATTATCAAGCAAACGTTGGTTCCATTGGCAATACTCGTCGTTTCGAGCTGCTTCCATGCTCAGGGTGAGCACAAGCACGGCTTTAAATGCTCATGCTCACTCGTGAACATAAGCAACGTCGAATATTGACAATATAACCAACGGACGGGTTCGAGAATGGCCCGGGTTGTGAAGGCGTGTCTGTCGACGACGGCACATCGAGCAGCGCGAGCGAGCCAGGGCGGGTAGCGGTTATGGCGGAGTGTGTGGCGGCTTTGTGAGCGTATCAGCTACCGAGGCCATTCCGCGCCAGGGCGGCAATCAAGCGCCACGGCCTGCCCGTGCGATCAATGGCTCGCGCGTTCACGGCTCGTACGGTGTGAGAGAGGAAGTTTGTTTTGATTTTCGGCGGCGCTGGACGGTGCCGCGCTCTGCAGCCGCCTTCGACGGCGATCGGGGGTGACATGGAGGTGTTCGTAAAGAACAGGTGCATATATTTCCTTCTACCGACGACGTGTTATGGTTTGTTGGTAATCACCAGTCGTCATGTGACAGGCTAGAATGTGCCGTAACGGCATACCCTCCCAATCTCACTTGCCTTTTTTGCCTTTATACCCCTATGATAATTAGGCCAGTTTTTGTGCGCGCGAAGAGTTATCGCAACACTCCATTATTGATGAGTGCCAATGATGGTCTAATGAGTACA